GACCCTGTCTCAAAAAAAAAAAACAACAAACAAAAAACAAAGGGCCGGGGATTTAGCTCAGTGGTTCTGCCACCTGACTCAAAAGTTCAAGGTCCTTCGATCCCCATACAAGATAAGAAAAGAAGAATTACTTAAGTAGGGTGGGGGTTAGGGGATTGTATCTGTTTCTGAAGCATAGACTCCCACCTCAAATCACCATACTTTCCAAGGCAATACTCTTAAGAAGTGAAATTAGGAAACACCAGAGAGAAATGAGGGGGAAAGTGCTGTTCAAAAACACAGCAGGTTTTCAGGTGGTTTCCTACCCCGTACCATCGGCCGAAGTGGGTGTCTGCACCACACTTGTCTGCTGTCCCGGCACTGGAGCTCGTGCACTGCTGATCAGAAGATCAAATTTGGTGCTTCTGCAGGTATTGGAGCACACTTTGTCATGCTGGTAAAAATCAATCTGTCCAGAGTCCATCATTTTCCTGTAAAGAGAGATAAAAAGTTCCAGATCAGCTTGCACTCCGAGAGAGAACTGGGACATCACAGAGGCAACTCTAGAGATAAGTGAGATCTAACAGAAGTTACAGGGTTGCAAAAATTCTGTTTGAGACTATCAGTTTTTCATTGGTTCTGCCCACATTTATCAGTACTCCTCTTTGCTTCTGAGTTTACTCACTGTGAGAACCCTCTTCTACTTGCTGTTATCCCTAAACTTCAGGTATGCACTGTGACTGTCACAGGATGCTGGGTGTGGTGGTGCTCACCCTTTAACCCCAGCACTTGTAGGCTAAGACAACAGTTCAAATTTTAGTCAATTTTTCTTCTTCTTTCTTAGTACTAGAGAATGAAGGCAGGGCCTTGCACAAGCCAGACCAGTGCTATGCCACTGAGCTACATCCCCAGTCTGGTTTGGTCCATTTTAATTGTTATTGAACCTCTCGAGATAACATCCTACTGTTCGGCCTAGGCCAGCCTTGAGTGCCCAGATTAGCCTCAAACTCACAATTCTCCTGCCTCAGCTTCCTGACTACTGGGATCATAGGTGTGCGCCACCACATCCAACTCTGGTTTAGTCAGTTTTATATTTGTTTTACTCACATGACATCATAAACATTTTTCTAGGTAAAAAGGTTTCAGAAATATTTTAATGATTGCAAAGTAACCTTTAATATGTACTCATATATATTTAGACAAGCCGTAATTTACTTTAGAAGTCACATTAAGGCAGACTGTAATTTTCATCATAATAAATAATATTGCACTGAACATTTTTATGCTTGAATCTCTACAAGCATTATAGATTTATCTTAGGATAACTGTAAAAAAGATTTAAAAAGACAAAGAAAATATTTTTAAGACCCTTGAGTATCTGTTCTATGTGAAATTTGTAATTCTTAAAAACATTTTAAAATTTTCTATCAGAAGGTGACTGTTCAAGGAACACCAACTAATATTAACTTCGAAGAGGGAAAAACAATCATGGTAAACCTTTTTTTTTTTTTTTCTTTTTGGTACCGGGGATCAAACTTGGGTCCTTGAGCTTGCAAAGCAAGTGGCAGAACCTCTGAGCTAAATTCCCGGCCCATAGTAAACTTGTTAACCAAAAGGGCTGAGGCTTGGGAATATTACACATTCTGACATTTATCACTGTAGTGGAAAGGATTGCATTTGCTGTATGTAACTCTTACTTCCCAACAGCACCCTTTTAATTTACCAGATTATACCACACTTGTAAGCCTACAATTTTCCATGATTCTTACACTTCCTCAGCACCTGGCTTTATTCTGTCCCTGCCCGGTGATCCTCAGCAGGGCTTTCACCTGCTCTGAGCTTCTCTACCAAGAGGGGATCTGACTCAACATCTTGAAATCAGAAAAATTTGCCCTCAAGGCCAGGGATTTAGCTCAGTGGTTCCCCCACCTGTCTCTCAAGACCCCAGTTTGATCCCTGGTACCAAAAAGAAAAAACAAAAACAAGAGAGGATCTGAGCCAACATCCTGAAATTGGAAAAATTTGCCCCAAGGGCCGGGCATTTAGCTCAGTGGTTCCGACGCCTGCCTCACAAGCGCAAGGACCCGAGTTTGATCCCCAGTACCAAAAAAAGAAAAAAAAAAATTGTCCTAGATCAACTTAATCTTCTATCTCACAGAAATTTTTAGATAAACTGAGGGCTGGGAATGTAGCTCAGGGGTAGAGTGCCTGTCTCACATGCAAAAGGCCCTAGGTTTGCACTGGGGAAAAGAACACACAAAAAAAAGATTAAGAGAACAAGTTGAAAAAAGAAAGAACAAGTTGATGGAGCCCTCATGGTGGCACAAGCCCATAATCCCAGTACTTGGGAGGCAGGGGCAGGAAGATCATTCTGAATTCAAGGCCAGCCTGGAATATATAAGGGACTCTAACTCTAAATAAAGAAATAAAACAAGTAAGTAAGCAAGCAAACAAGCTGGGCGAGGTGGTGCACCTCTGTAATCCCAGCACTCTGAAGGCTGAGACAGGAGGATCATCAGGAGTTCGAGGCCATCTTGGACTATATACATACATGCATACATTAATTAATTAATTAAAAATAAATAAGTAAGATAATGCATGGAATGCACAAGCCAATCCTTCACATGAATGTCTAGTGAAAGAGAAAAGACTGGAATCTACCATGATTAAGTACCTCCAAGTTTATTGAGAGGTATGTGCTTGCCTTTAGTGCTTACCTGAGCATGATTCCACCCAAACGAATGGCTCTCTTCCAGTCCTTCAGAGTGGACTTGCCAGCCAGATGAACAAAATGCTTGGGGCTAATCAGCTGATCATTGAACTAAAGTAAAAAGAAAAGTCCAAAGTAGTCCAATGTCAACTTGGGCAGGTCAAGAAGAAAATGATAATTTCACTTGTTATATACAAAAAATATCCAAACAAAACTGCAATTTTGTTCTTGTTTTGTTTTTTGAGGTAGGGTCTCACAATGTAGTTCAGGCTGACCATGAACTCTTGGCAATTTTCCTGCCTCAGCCCCACTAGTGCTGGGATTATAGGTGTGTGCTACCATACCTGGCATAAAATTGTAATTCTTATACAACTTCCTTGTGCCAATGATGATCCTTCTCTGAGCGTGCTCTTTCCAGACACAAAGCTACAGAAAATATGAGGAGGTTCAGAGATGGTATTGATCAGCATGTGTAGTCCACTTACACCTTCAATCAGGTGATCTGGTCTAGCACTGCAAAGGCTGATCAAATAGCTAGGCCAGATGGTACATGCCCGTAATCCCAGCACTCAAGAGACTGAGACAGGAGGATCACTGTGAGTTCAAGGCCCACCTGAGCTACAGATGGAGACCCTATCTCAAAAAAAAAAAAAAAAAAAAAAAAAGGCTGATCAAATAAACTGAAATAATCTATTCAGCCCTAATGACAAGATTCAGGATGGTCAAAAGAACAAGTAGTAGGGCCGAGGATTTAGCCCAGGGGTGCCACCACCTGCCTCGCACATGCAAGGTCCCAAGTTTGATTCCCAGTACCAAAGAAAAAAAAAAAAAAAAAAAAAAAAAAAAAAAAAAAAAAAAAAAAGAAAAGAAAGAAAGAAAAAGTATAGAAGAAATCAACAAATGTGCAGAGCCTGAAAACTATAATTCTTATTAATCTAGGGTGTGCCATTATGTACAGGACTACCTGTTGATACAACTGTAGCCACCAAAGGAGATAAAAGTTATTTCCACATTATCCTCATGAAGATTACTTCTTTTTATCAGAAAAAAAATTTTTTTCCTGGTACAGGTGACCAAACTCAGAACCTTGTGCTTATAAGAGGTGTGGAGCCACTGAGCTAAATCCCTGACCCTTTTACCAGAAATTTTGAATAGATGCTACCACAATTCATGCCAGTGTATGTATGTGTATATATATATATATATATATATATATAT